ACTTTCATCATCATTCACTCCATCAGTCTTGTCAGAGAGGTGGCTTTACACTACAGTTATAAAACTGCAACATTAACACCCGTCCTTCAGTGTGTGTCCGTTCCAGACACCCAAAAGTATTAAACAAAATCATTTTTTTTACATGAAATATACATTTCCCTACACAGCAACGAATGGTACATGCAAAATAAACAATAATTAAATGCCACTTAACCTTACTGTGGAGTTGTTGATGAGTGATGTGCCAGCAGCAGGGGAGATTCAAGTTTCCTATTGTTTGGAAGGAGAATCCCCCTTTCATAAAGACTTCAGGTAACAAGTCCTTTTCTGGGGTTACCTCCCTTCTTGGTTTTTTAATGCTACTAGGACCAGCTTGAGAGTCACTGGACTCCTGTCGCACCAAAAATCTGTCCAGAGAGCTCCGTTTCTCACGTTCCATTAGGATTTCAGTAAAATGGGACACAAGAGTGTCATTGTACATGTTGCCAATTGTTGCCAATACAGCTTGCAACAGCTGTGACAGGATAAAATTCATTCATAAATGCTTGCACCTTCGTAAATATTGTACACATTTCTTTTATCCGTCTTTCTTCCTCCTGCTCTGAAGCACATTCCTGAGCTGTGATCTGTTGCTATTGCACATCAAGCTCTTGCAGGTCTGCAGTGGTTAGTTCTTCATCATCGTTCTGCACCAACTCTTCCGCATCCTCACCACAAACCTCTAACCCCATGGACTTCCCCAATGACACAATAGCTTCCATTACTGGCATAGGCTCCTGAGGGTTAGCCCCAAACACATCAAAATACCTCTCTTGTACACATTGTGGCCACAGTTTCCTCCAAGCAGAGTTCAAAGTCCTGCAAGTCACTCCCTCCCAAGCCTTACCTGTAAGGTTTATGCAACTGAGGATACTGAAATGATCTTTCCAAAACTCTTTCCAAAATTCAGCGTCTGAGGTCACTTCAAAGCACTTTTGAAACACTGCTTTTGTGTAGAGCTTTTTGAGTTTGAAATGACCTGCTGGTCCATGGACTGGAGGAGAGGAGTTGTATTAGGAGGCAAAAATTTAACTTCAACGAAGCTAAACTCCCCTGCAATTTGCTCTTGTAAATCGTGAGGATGAGCAGGAGCATTGTCCATTACCAGGAGGTGCTTGAGTAACAATTTCTCTTCCAGGAGGTAATTTTTCACAGTGGGGCCAAACACACCATAAAACCAGTCCATGAAAATTTCCCTAGTGACCCATGCCTTAGTGTTTGATCTCCACATCACACACAAATTACCCATGACGATGTTGTTTTTCTTGAACACTCTGGGAGTTTCAGAGTGTTACACCACTAAAGGCTTCACTTTGCAATCACCACTAGCATTACTACACAACATTAATATCAGCCTGTCTTTCATAGGCTTATGTCCTGGGAGTGCCTTTTCCTCCTGAGTAATGTAGGTCCTGTTTGACATTTTCTTCCAAAACAGGCCTGTTTTGTCACAATTAAACACTTGTTCGAGTTTTAAGTTTTCAGTCTCTATGTACTCCTTAAAGTCCTGCACATATTTTTCAGCCGCTTTCTTGTCTGAACTGGCTGCCTCACCATGCCTATCAAACTGTGCATGCCACTACAATTCTTAAATATCTCAAACCAGCCTTTGCTGGCCTTAAATTCATCAGCAGCAGCACTATTTGGAGGCATTTTCTTAATGAGATCATCATGCAACTGCCTTGCCTTTTCACATATTACTGAGGTATACTATCCCCTGATAATTGTTTCTCGTTTATCCACACCAATAACAGTCTCTCCACATCTTTGAGTATTTGCGATCTCTGTTTTGCAATCACACTTGCACTTTTTGCAACAACAGCTTCCTTGATTGCCTTTTTGTTGCACAAGATAGTAGTGATGGTTGAATGGGGTTTGTTGTATAACTTTTCCAACTCCGAGATATGCACTTCACTTTTGTACTTTTCTATTATCTCCTTTTTAAGTTCGATGGTACACCTCACTCTTTTTACCACAGGGTTGGCACTAGAAGCTTTCTTGGGGCCCAAGGTGGCTTATTTAGCAGTTACAAGCACTAAAAACAGTGGAATACAAAATATATTGCAGGTACACGTGGAATCGACCGCAACGGCTTGTAAACAATGGCACACTGGCTGGTAGACTGGGTGACTGGCCGGGCCCTCTCACGGCGCCCAGCGGACACGTTCGGGACGAAAGCTCCTAACCGAGTTTTTAGGCGTTATCCGAGCCAATTTTTTACGCCAAAGCGAGGCGTTATCTGATTTTGACGCTATCCGATCCAGGCATTAACCGGGCGTCCACTGTTTATACTTTCCTCCCTCATTACCCTTCCATCAAACTAAGAACTCATGTCAAAAACTATTGCCGACAATGAGAAAAACAATGAATTTCTCACCTAGAATTGTTGATTAGTTTTTTATAATATTAGATAATTACTTCACTTGGAATAATCTGTATACAGTTATACCCTCCCTACATCATTAATTGCTTCTAAGAGCCATGACATAACCCAGCTTTTTATGTAAACTGGAGATAATGCCTTAAAATGATGACAAACACCATAAAACTAGCGTAAATAACTCACAAAAGAATATAACTGTTGCTAAACTTTAAAGAACACAAAAAATGCACCAGTCATATTTTTTAAAGAATAATGAACACAATTAAAAAAATTATGACGTATGTGACATTGCTGAGTGATGTAGAGTTGGACATAATGTTGTTCGCTGAACTGAAATTTACTCTAGAAAAGTGGAGTAGGTAGCAGGTTGGTAGACAGCAACCGCCCAGGGAGATACTACCGTCTTGCCAAGCGAGTGTAAAACAAAAGCCTGCAATTGCTTTACATGATGGTAGGATTGCTGGTGTCCATTTTTCTGTCTCATAAACATACAAGGTTTCAGGTACGTCTTGCTACTTCTACTTACACTTAGGTCACACTACACATACATGTACAAGCATATATATACACACCCCGGTGGGTTTTCTTCTATTTTCTTACTAGTTCTTGTTCTTGTTTATTTCCTCTTACCTCCATGGGGAAGTGGAACAGAATTCTTCCTACATAAGCCATGCGTGTTGTAAGAGGCGACTAAAATGCCAGGAGCAAGGGGCTAGTAACCCCTTCTCCTGTATATATTACTAAATGTAAAAGGAGAAACTTTCGTTTTTCCTTTTGGGCCACCCCGCCTCGGTGGGATACGGCCGGTGTGTTGAAAGAAAGAAGAAGATCTACAGAGTTTTGCAGGGAATCATGCTCCTATCAATGTCGCTTATCACCTTCAAAGCCCTCAACATCGATATTGTCATTCTCATCGTTTGCCCTAGTTTTTCAAGGGTGAGGGCTTGAGGTTGACTGGCCTCAGCAACACTCTCCTCTTCTTCATCCTCATTCTCTGCCTACACAATCTCCAACAATTCTTCATCATTTAGGCCCAGTGCATGTTCTTCAATCAGTTCTCTCACCTCACCCTCCTGCATGTCCTTGAACCCTTCACCACAAACTAGGCTTGCTAACTCCACAGTCTTCCTCATGGCTTTGTTAACCTCTTCCTGACGACCAAATCCAACAGAATCACACACACACACACACACACACACTCTGCCCACAAAGCCCTCTAACAACTCTTCACTGTGTGAGGGTGCAAATCCTTGATACACTCATGCACTATTGAGGCAGTCGAGGATGGTGAATTACATAAATAATTTTCCAATGACAGAATTGCTCACATAACCTGCCCTACACTTGTCTAGCAAGTGGGTAAGAGGGAGGGTAGTAGTTATACTGCAGGAAGTGTTTTCCCGTACTTTTTCCAGCATTTGTTTGGTAAATGTGATTGGGTGGCTGGGCATTCATGAATGTTCAAAGCTCATGAAAGTGGAACTCACGGAAGTGGAGGGATAGCTGTATAATGAATACTTATAATATTACAATTATTTTAGAGTATAATATTCACCCAAACATGGAAATTATTCACACAGTTTGACTTTCCTGGGTTATCCTGGGTTATATACCTAGCATGTTTTATGGCTGAATTCCACTGATAGTATCATGAAAATGTAATAAATCTGGACTGAATAAATCATCTTTGAACCACTTGCACACCCTGTTTGCTGGTAGGGAAGCTGGTGGTGAACAAAAGCTCCTGATTAAGTCCTACTATGTAGGACGTAACAAAAAAAAAAAAAAAAAAGGGCACAATACCATGACTAAAACAATACACAAATAACCCACACACGAAAGAGAGGAGCTTACAACGAGGTTTCAGTCCGACTTGAATTGTTTACAAAATCACACTAACAAAAAGGAGAGGAGGGAGTATATATAGACCAGTAGACAGGGATGGGAACAAGAGAGGTAGGAGGAGAGGAGGAAGAGAGGTAGTGGTGGAGGTAGTAGTAGTAATAGTAGAGTCAGTCAAATACTAAGAAAGAGGAACACTGCAAGGAAGCTAGGGACCCACAGAGGGTAGGAGCAAGAACACAGAGGGGGCCCCTAGCTCCCTTGCAGTGCTTCTCTTTCTTAGTATTTGTTGACTCCACTACTACTACTACCTCTCTTCCTCCTACCTCTCTTCTTCCCATCTCTGTCTGCTGACCTATATATACTCCCTCTTCTCCTTTTCATTAGTGTGACTTTGTAAATGGTCCAAGCCAGACCGAAACATCGTAGTAAGCTCCTCTCATCCATGTGCGGGTTATTTGTGTATGTAGGACATACAGTCATCCCACTGAGTAGTTAACCATAATACATTGTGTAGACACTACTGGCCTTAATTTTTTTTTTCAAATGTATGAATAGATGGAAGAAGATCCAAAGAGTTGGCCTGAGGTAAAAAATATTGGCAGGTGGCAGATTTGTGGGTATGAAAAAATTGTGCGTACTAGTACGTCGGACACAGTACCAGCACCCTGCATACAAGTACGTCAGACACAGTTATAGGACTAAATAATGTTAGAATACAATCAAAATACAGAACCTGTTTTCTGCAGCAGCCAGGCAAGCAGCCTTGCTTCCTCCAGCTCTCATGCAGTAGAAGATGAGAGGCCACACTGGTGCACTGCTAGCTTGCCCATCCTCCAAGGTACTAATAACTTGAGGTGGTAGCACAACCTCTAAAAAGGCCCGCACTAGAGGCACTAAGCCTGGTACTCCTCCTAGTTGTGCTCGCTCAAGGTGGGAATATACCATACGCCTCATGTGAGTAGCATAACTACCCAAAGAGAAAAATGTAACATGGACTTTAATGTACATGAAAATGCAAATATTTTTTTTTTCATTAAGATACATATTTCAATTTCCTTCCAATAACACTTTGATCTACATATTTTGAAGAGTATGCATCTATTAATTTGTAACATTTTGTTAACCCTTAAACGGTCCAAATAAATCGACATTCAAATTCGTAGTGCTACAAAAGTAGATCTACTTTTTTTAACATATTTTCAAATGTAACAAAAAAAATGTAGATAAAAGTTTTTTACACATTTTCAAATGTAAAACAAAAAAGATCTACATTTTTTTTACATACTTTCAGATGTTGAAAAAACGTATATATACGTTTGGACCATTTAAGGGTTAATAAGGAAATATTAAAGAAAATAAAATATGAAATTTATACTGGTAAATATTTTATGCTATGATGAACATTCATTAAAATAAACAAAAAAAAACTATGAGGATGTCTCAGGATGGGTTGGAGTGAATGGGTGATGGCAGTTTTGAGTGACAGGGGCTTGAGCATACAGCAGGCATGTGACAGCAAGTTAGATGAGAGCAGAGAAAAATGGTTTTTGGGATTTTATGTGCTATTAGAGTGTGAGAAAGGTAACATTCATGAAGGGATTCAGAGAAATCAGTACAAGAAATTGGAAGCACAGTGTCTGCACTGAAGGATTCGTTGGGATGCTGCAGTTCAAAGTCATTTGAATATGTTCGCACACTCCCAACAAGATCACTTAAAGAATTAAAGATGGAACCATCTCTGGTAGTGTGGGCAGCTTCCCCATATGAAATGGCAAAACTAAGAGTGAATAAAACTAGTGTAAAGTTGAAATAACTGGGGAGTGATTATATGTTCTTAACTTCAAAGACAAACTTTTCTTTTTGGATGTATTTTTGGCAATGACAGAAATGTAATGGATCCAAAACATATTTGATACGATAATTCCTATGATACTAAGAAATTATTGAAGTTCCTGATAAGAGTTCTCAAAGTAAAAGTGGCAATCAGCTGGAATTTACTTTATTGTAAGAGGCTAAAGAAAAACTGTTGTAGTAAAAGTAAACATGACCAGTGTACATAGCACATGTCCCATGAAGATGGAATTAAGCTCAGGCATAATATAACTGGAAGTAATGTACAAGATTCCATCAACATTGAAAAGGGCTACAAATGAAGTATGTTATTGTCAACACAGTGAAAAAGATCAAGACTTACGATTTTTCAAGGTGACCACGAGCCTGTTTTACAAGTGCAGCTTGTACCCTGGGAGAGGCCCGTGCCTGTGCTGCATCACCACCTACGCTCACTGGCACCTCAGTCAGGCACTGAACAAGAGCCCATAAATCTGATATACCCTGTTGAAGGACTACCTCATGAATGTGTTGCTCAGGTGTCAAAAATAATAAAAGGTCAGTAGCATATGCATGTACTACCATAACATTTTACACAAGTGTCAGAGCTTACCTTATATAAACCATTAAAGCTTTACAATGGTAACTGATTCTAAAACTATTCCTAAATTTTTCTCAGATTTCCACTTTATTTTATTGAAAAAAAAAAAATCGCATATACGTACAAACTCCACAATACTGTCTTATTACATGATCCTAATCGCTCACTTTTGACTCTAAATTTACTCTACTCTTCACTTATTGATTCCAGTTTATTTGTCCTAGATCATTATGTAACATCTATACCTGACAAGACTGTAGTGAACTTAGTCATTATAAAACTATAATTATATTTAGCATCACTACAAATTAGTATATCATTGCCTCATCTAGTTTCAAGCTTCATTTAGTGTGTAGTTTCAATGCTACTTCAAAATTATATTATTCTCTTTAGGAAAAATCTTAAATCCTGGCAACACTTAAGTTCCTCCCCAAAACTAATAAAACATTCACAAAAACTGCAATATTAATTTGTATATTATCAGATACACTTCCCTCGTTCTATAATCATTTTCACATGTATCATTTAAAAATAAAAGGGCCTTAAACTATATTGGTGAAAATTGTTACATATATTTAAAAGCACGACTGACCCATAGCATTTCATGAAAAAAAATTGAAGAAAGAAAAATACTAGCCTGATCACCCATGGTAGATGCAGCATTGGTAAGTGATTCTGCCAAGTTGGGTCGTATGCCACCCTGTAGAACCTCTTCATTATATTGCCGGATGACTCTGACATAAGCCATTTCTTCACTGCTCAGGCTGCTGCTTTTACCTCCCACAGCACGTGGTACACAAACAATACTATCCTGAAATTATTAGAACCTTTGAGACAACTACAGAAGCTCTGTTTAACAGAGTGGTAGCTTGGCATATAATAACCTTTTGATGTTATGAGGCAGGATGAAATCGAATGCTGTTGATAAGTGTGAAGAAAAAGATACAAGCTGAAGGAGCTTTTGTCAGGACAATAAAACCCTGCTCTACAATTTGTGTTATCTTCATATTAGGCTTTCTGTCACTGATATAAAGCAATGAACATCAAATTCTAAACACTGTAAACAAAGAGGTCTTCACGATGAAATGATTTGTTACTCAGCACACAGTACTCACCCCCACTACTGTTTCTCACTGCACAGTACTCACCCTGCTACTGCTCCTCAATGCACAGTACTCACCCCCACTACTGTTCCTCAATGCAAAGTACTTGCCCCCACTACTGTTCCTCAGTGCAAAGTACTCACCCCCACTACTGTTCACAAGTACAAGTACTTGCCCCTACTACTGTTCCTCTATGCACAATACTCACCCCCACTACTGTTTGTCATTGCACAGTACTCACCCCACTACTCTTCATCAGTACAAGTACTCACCCTACTACTGTTCATCGGTACAAGTACTCATCCCACTACTGTTCCTCAGTGCACTGATACTACCCCCACTATGTTCTCAATTGCACAGTAACTCACTCACTACTTGTCCTCAGTGAACAGTACCTCGATGCACAGTACTCACCCCCACTACTGTTCCTCACTGCACAGTACTCACCCTGCTACTGCTCCTCAATGCACAGTACTCACCCCCACTACTGTTCCTCAATGCAAAGTACTTGCCCCCACTACTGTTCCTCAGTGCAAAGTACTCACCCCCACTACTGTTCACAAGTACAAGTACTTGCCCCTACTACTGTTCCTCTATGCACAATACTCACCCCCACTACTGTTTGTCATTGCACAGTACTCACCCCACTACTCTTCATCAGTACAAGTACTCACCCTACTACTGTTCATCGGTACAAGTACTCATCCCACTACTGTTCCTCAGTGCACAGTACTCACCCCCACTACTGTTCCTCATTGCACAGTACTCACCTCCACTACTTGTCCTCAGTGAACAGTACCTCGATGCACAGTACTCACCCCACTACTGTTCCACAGAGCACAGTGCTCACCCCATTATTGTTCGTCAGTACAAGTACTCACCTCACTACTGTTCTTCAATGCACAGTACTCACCTCCACTACTGGTCCTCAGTGCACAGTACTCACCCTCACTACTGTTCTCTCAGTGCACAGTACTCACCCCCACTACTGTTCATCAGTGCACAGTACTCACCCCACTATGTTCTTCAATACACAGTACTCACCCCACTGTTTCAATACACAGTACTTACCCCTCTATGCTCCTCAGTACACAGTACTCCCCTTACTATGTTCCTCAGGTTACAGTACTCCATTTACTATGTTTCTCAGGGCACAGTACTTCCCTTACTACTATTCCTCAGTGCAGAGTACTCACCCCATTACTATGTTCCTCAGTACAGAGTACTCACATCACTTCTATTCCTCGGTGCACAGTACTCACCCCGTTACTATATTCCTCAGTGCACAGTACTCACCCCCACTTCTAATCCTTAATGCACAGTATTCACCTCATGTTTCTCAATACACAGTACTCACCTCACTATTCTGCAGTGCACAGTACTCGCCTCACTACTATTCCTAAGTACACAGTACTCACCTCACTATTATTCCTCAGTGCACAGTACTCGCCTCATTATGTTTCTCAATACTAAGTACTCATCCCACTACTATGTTCCTCAGTACACAGTACTCACCCCACTGCTATGTTTCTCAATATAGTACTCATCCCACAATATTCATCAGTTCAGTCCTCACCGCAGTATGCTTCTCAAAACACAGTACTCACCTCACTACTATGTTTCTCAATACACAGTACTCACCTCACTACTATGTTTCTCAATACACAGTACTCACCTCACTATGTTTCTCAATACACAGTACTCACCTCACTGTTTCTCAATACACAGTACTCACCCCACTCTGTTTCTCAATACACAGTACTTACCCCACTACTATGTTTCTCAATACACAGTACTTACCCCACTACTGTTTTTCAATACACAGTACTCACCCCATTACTATGTTTCTCAATACACTGTACTCACCCCACTACTATGTTTCTGAGTACACAGTACTCACCCCACTATGTTTCTCAATACACAGTACTCACCTCACTGTTTCTTAATACACAGTACTCACCCCACTACTATGTTTCGTAATACACAGTACTCACCCCATTACGTCAATACACAGTACTCACCCCACTACGTCAATACACAGTACTCACCCCACTATTATGTTTCTCAATACACAGTACTCACCTCACTACTGTTGCTTATATTTGACATAAACAATGACACAGTTACAACACAAATAAAACAAGTACATATACATTTGATAGCTTATGCTTTATGAAAATTTGTCATGTTATCAGAACTTGTTGAGTTACCATAATTTACCATAATTTCAAATGCCATGGGTGACCAAACAAAAGGAACAAATGTCTCAGTCATTATCCTGTTTTCTTTACATTAATATTTATTCTCATTATCTCGCTTATTTATCACTGGCATTCCTCATCTACCTTTCATTCATTTATCCTCATATATTCTCATATAATCTCATTCTCTCAATGAATACTGCTGAACAATAAATTGTAAAAAAAAAAATAATTTGAATTTCAGCATAATCCCAGGTGACGGGTGCAGGGCTAGTGTTACCAGCATATGATACAGATGAAGGAACACTAGTACCTCCACTTACAACAACCTTGCTGGATCCGTTTTGGTGCTGGGACCTTGCTCACTTCCAGATATTTTGTGACCAAGACTCAAAACTCATCAACGGTAAGGCCTCAGAGCAGAAACTTATCCAATTTGATGTGCCAAGTGTAACTGGTTAAATAATTAAAAGCCTATCAAATACATGAGGGCCATTAAAGATGCATGTAACCTTCTACTTCCAGACAAGACTACTTTAATCTCTAAAATTAAGCCCCTCAAGGAAGGTTCCTTGATGTTGGTGAGGGGCTCTTGATTTAGGGAATTGGATCTGTGCTCCAGTTCCCCGAATTAAGCCTGAATGCCTTCCACATCCCCCCCCCCCAAGGCGCTGTATAATCCTCCGGGTTTAGCGCTTCCCCTTGATTATAATAATCATCTAAAATTAAGATTAAACTCTCGGTATATATACACCGAGAGGAATACACGTCTGGGTGTATGTATATACCTGTAAGTACATGTGTGCATGCTATTCACACACCTGTTGTTGGACGGTGATATTGAGGAGGTCAGTGCCGGAGTGTGTGAAGGCTGACAGCAGGTCCTGCTTCTTCTGCTCCCACTCGGCTTGTTGCTGCTTCCAATACAGTTTGTCCACTTCTTCACTCGTCTGATAAATACATCGCGTTGGGAAATATAACTACAACCGCAGTAAATCGTAAATCTAAAAATACATCATGTAAGTTGTATTATTCTAATATTTTAGGGTTTTTCTCCTACAATGTTTTTACCTGCGATTTGATTATCTCCATTTAAATAATGAATGTGTACAACAAAACAAAACTGCCACAAGAAAAGCTTGTTCTTATATCTGTCGGCAGTACTCCTTTAGATTAATAATAATAATAATAATAATAATAATAATAATAATAATAATAACAATATTTCTACAAATACATGATACAACTTATACAGACGTAGCTGAAATCAATGACATACTATATAGAAAGTCCATGGTTATGCAAAGCATTTCGGGCAAATTACGTTAATTTTGTCCCCAGAATGCGATCCACACCAGTAGGCTAACACCCAGGTACCTATTTACTGCTAAATGAAAAGGGACAGCAGATGTCTTAAGGAAACACGCCTGGTGTTTCCACCCATACCAAGGATTGAACCACGGACCTCAACATGTGAGCTGAGTGCGCTACCAACCGAGCTACGGGGCACCTAAATCAAACTCAAAGTGTCTAATTCATCAACTTGTCAGTATTTAACACCATTCGTACAGTACACCTTTATCTCCAGCAGTAACGTAGTGTCTCTTTAGATCAAAGGTACATATACCGACAAACTGATAAGACACATGTGCAACACCATATATCTTTATTGTAAAAGATACCAAGGTGTTGCACGTGTTTCTTATTCATCAGGAAATCAATAATTATCTACCCGTCGTTTCGAGTCTTCAATAGCCGTGATGATGGCATTCTCACGTTCATTCCTCAGGAAGGCAGCAATATCTGTGTCAGCAACAGCTTCCAGGGGTTGAAGTGTACGCGCTGTTGTTAAGTTTTCCAGTCGACTGCTAATGTGAGGTAAGTCAACCCCACGAGACCCCAGCAGGATGGCACTGTCAAAGAAAAATTCCAAGTTTATTTCCAAGTTGCCTTACTGATGCAGCATGTTCGTAAAATCTTAATGGCTCTTTTATATACTCGTGATAGCAAGTTTAAAGGAGCGGTGTGGCACGTGTTGCAAATGTCTACAATACTGTCAGGTCAACCTGGCGGCTGATGGCTATGTGGGCCAGTGGGTCACTAACAATAACAACAAAAATCTGATTAACCATGAAATCAGCAAGGAAGCCTCGTCTAAAGCCAGGCTGCAAGGGTAGATAAACACTGGAAAACGGTGACAGGTATGCCATAATAGGTGGTACGGCAACTGTGAGTTGGTTAGTTGTGCCTTCAACTCTATATATAGTGTGTACACAGTCTCTCATTAAATAGACTGGTTATAAATGACCATAATTTTTAAAGGGGTGGACCGGTAAGCCAGCGGAAGGCCTCGGTCAGATGACCAAAAGCTCCAAAGGCGGGTCATCATCTGACTAAGACCCGCGTCAGGAAACATTTGTCCTGTTTCCTGACGAACCTTACCTAACCTAACCTAACCTCTCATTAAATGTGTGAATTATCAGTTAAATAACAACGCTCTTGCCGAATAAGGCAAGCAAAAAAATTTCGTTAAAATCATTCTGAACCTAACGAAAAAAATATATTTCATTGTGTTTGTTTATTATTAAATTACTGCAAACCTATCTAAAATATATTTAGTTGGATTAGGCTAATTTAAACTGCGCTTGTTATAATATTATTTGTCACTGGGAAGCGCTAAACCCGTGTGGGGGCAGGCTGGAAGGTATTCAGGCTTAATTCAGGGAACTGGAGCACAGATCCAATTCCCTAAATCAAGAGCCCCTCACCAACGTCAAGGAACCTCCCTTGAGGAGCTTTTAATAAAAAGGTTAGGTAAGTTTTCTAAGGTTCTCTTGGTACAAAATTATTAATTTTTACATTAACATAAATAAAAAAAAATATCTTTAAACGTATAATAGAATTTTTGAAAGGATTTAATTTTAAGCGAGTTCTTGCTGACCAGTTTTACCTAATCGGCACAATATATAAATATACAAAAAAATGAGCCTTCGGCACAATACTTCACTGCTGGCTGATGCACAAAATATACGAACAAGCAGAGGGTTAAGGAATATTTGAGAAACAGAAGACAAGGTAACAAAGTAAATATCAAGCTGGGTAAGGGTGATGAGCGGGGTCCCTCAAGGATCTGTATTGGAACCTATACTATTCTAGATACTTTATATTTAAATTACCTACAAAGGGAACTGATTCTAGTACTATTCCTTGTTTTATACGGATAATGTAAAAGTAATCAGGAAAAAAATCATCAAATGAAGAAAGACAGGAAGAATCTACAGAATTACTTCAACAGGTTGCAAGCATTGTCAAATAAATGGTTGTTGCGATTCAACACCAGTAAGTGCAAGACCATGAAATTCTAGAGAACGAAAAGACCTGTGACAAAATATTAAGAAGGAAACAACTTCATATACAGAAAAAACTGAAAAAGAAAAAAAAACAGGGGCGAGTGTGGCATAGACAAACTCAGCTGAGAGAGACATTAACTTCATGAGTGTCAGCATAGCTTAGTTAATTTAATAATGTACCAGCTTTCAAGAACCTAAACAAGATTCTTTAAGAACACTACACGACATACTGTATACCAGACCCATGTTGAAAGTATGCTACACCAATGAGTCATGCATGTGTAGAAGCTCGAAGAGGTTCAGAAACTGACAACCAAACTTGTTTTAGAAGTGAGGACAAACGCAGCGACAGGATCAAGGAGCTGAACCCTTCACCTAGAAAGAAAGAACAAAGGAGACACGATCACGACTTGGTGACATTAACACAGTTACCGGGTGTAGGGACACTGTGTTTGATATTTTCTAAACGACCACTGCAATTAAGAAAAAAATTATGAATATTTTTAGGTTAGCAAATCAAAATAAACAGCGACGACGTCTGGCAACGCCTACCTCAGCAGGTTATGTCAAGTGGTACTTAACTTGACTCACGAAATTGTAATGACACGATTGCAAACAAACGATACCACGGGAGGGGTTTGAACCCGCGGTCTGGAGTTTTGAGACTCTCTGACCGCGGGTTCAAACCCCACCCGTGGTTGGGTTTGTACTTATTTGTGACTGGCGGGCGAGATAGAATGGGGAGGGGGGGGGGAATAAAAACGCTTAGCTTGAAAATAAAGGTAGGAACTCTTACGCCTGTAAAAACCCGCGTAAAAAAAAAAGTGAGGAAAACTGATTTGATTCGTTACCACTGACATTATTGCTCTTGCTCTGAAGGTTCTCTTTACGCACCCGGCCATTTGTTTTTGGCGTCACTTGCCTTACTGTGTTTTCTGACACCTCAGTTGATATTATTATACCTAAGTTTTTTATAAGTTTCCTTCTATGAGGTGGACTGTCTGTGTTGTGTATACAGTGTCTTTTGAGTTAGTCATTCTTTCCATATTTGAGGAACTGGAATAGGTCACTAGTGAACATAACGTTTTCTACTTCACTGGAAGAAGTGGTGTGAGGACTGGTTTCACAGAGATAGTGTAGCCAGTACAAGTGTGGTATAACAGCCTGCAGCGCGGCCAGCACAAGTAGGATACAGCAGCACACAGTGTAGCCAGCACAAGTATGGTGCACCAGCACACGGTGTAGCCAGCACAAGTATGGTGCGGTACAGTGTAGCTAGCATAAGTGTGATAAAGCAGTAAAGTGTAGCCAGTGCAAGTGTGGTGCAGCAGTACGGTGTAGCCAGTGCAAGTGTGGTGCAGCAGTACAGTGTAGCCAGCACAAGTGTGGTGCAGTAATCAGCCAGAAGATAATTCCTAATACTGGCCCTGACAAAGTTAAGTGAAAGTAGGAAAAACTTAAACATCAAACACTAAAACAAAAGTGTTTTCCTGCTTTAAAATACTGCGGCGCTAAGAGTTGGAGAGAAGAATGGGAGGGAGAGACGGAAGAGATACAAGGGAGAGAGGGAAGGAAGACATACAAGAGAGGGATAGAAGAGATGGGAAAGATACAAGGGAGTGATGAGATGGAGAAATGGAATGAAGCGAGACCGGAAAGTAATAGGAAGCAAATGGTGTGATGACAGGAGGAAGAAGGGAGGGAAAATAAAGGAATAGTTATGATATGGAGGGAGATTGGTGATGTAGTTAAAGGAGTGGTTAAAATTGGTACAAAGTAGAACGAGAAGGGGAGGTTGGACAGAGGAAGCCGCCATCCACACTTGGCACTATCTACACTGGAAGTGTCGGTAACCGTGATATAAAACACAATGATAAAGCCAAACATTTATTTTAGAATTCGTTTTTCCTCATGACTTCTTGTGTGTTGGTATTTACCTTATTTGCGCTACACTGCTCCCGGGCTGAGCAAGTCAGGCTCAACTTACCCACCCCAGCGGTGACTATCAAAAATGTCGGGTAGGCTTTTATTTAAGGAATCAGACTAGCCTAGCGACCTGGCCTACCCTGATAATGTAATGCAGCTTAGTCCAGCCCACCTGATCGTGGGCCTGCCGAGATTAGTGGGTGGTGGTTAATACAAGTTGATAAATTAATGCACATGTGCAACACTTAGTATCTTTACTGTGAAAACGTTTCGCCGCACAGTGACTTCATCAGTCTAACTACGACTCTAATACAAAGAAGAATGGTAAAGATCAGAAGGAGTTTGATGTAATCAGTCCTTCAGCCTGGAGTCGATGTAATCAGTCCATCAATCAAGGCTTGACGGCCAGATTACAACGAATCAACTCTTCTCTGTACTGGACTGATGAAGCCACTGTGTAACGAAACGTTTCCACAATAAAAATACCCAAGTGTTGCACATGTGTCTAATTTGTTAACATGTCGGTTCTCTAAACCGTTTATCTACATTATTATAAGTGAAGCAGCGATGCTGCTTCACTTATACTAATGACGCTAAACCTACAGACGCTACTGCATCTTTAGGTTGTGTCTAAGTCAATCTGTCATCCTAAATTCTAGATTTATCACATGCTGTTTTCTTCAATTTTCTAGTTTTGCGAATTTTGATTAGATTAAGTTATGACTGATTAGACTGTCGTCCATTAATATAAATTAACCCATTAAAACATACCACAATGACGATAAATGAAATATTCCACACCCGCCTGGGGGGTGTTTCTGCGTCCCAGGCCTCCCGGTGGATCAGGGCCTGATCAACCAGTCTGTTACTACTGGCCACACATAATCCAACGTACGAACCACAGCCCGGCTGGTCAGGTACTAACAGAGTCTATAAGAGGCAATTATTTGTTCTGAATAGCGAACAGAAAATGTACGCGCAAGTCATACTTTAATGCTAGCGTAATAGTCACTTATCCGACTGTCTTAGCTAAAGTGAAACCATGACTTTGATTAAAAGAACTGGCAGCTTTTAGTATGTAATTAATAGTATATACCGTAATTCAATTTTAAAATATCGAAAGGCTATTGCAATAATGAATTCACATTGTGTCTATGAATGTAGTTTTAGATACACGTATAATGAAGTTCAAATACCCCTTCATTTTTCCACTATAATTTTTGTTTTCCCGCACTGTAATGATGGAGGTATCTTAGAAATTTAATTTCTTCTGTTTATGGACTAGGTCACTCCAAGATATGATAATTCCGAAGTAATAGTAAGTCCACCTTTCCTGGAACGAATTCTTTTAAACTCTTTAAGTCACTGAATCGTTAATGGAATGCTTGACATCTTGCTTACATACTGAATGACGTCTATTAGTTCAGCCTGACAGATTTTAACACTATGTATGAAGCTCTTTCTGAGTGATGGAATAACAAGGAAACAGCTAACTTTATAGTTCCCACTACGTAACTACGTGGGGCTATCACCAACAGCCTGGCTGATCAGGCCATCCACCGGGAGGAATAGCCCGGGACCGGGCTGTGGGGTTGTTAACCATGATCGAGTCTAGATAGGTAGGTAGGTACACCACA